TGTAATAATAAATAAATTCTAGAGATGACGGATGAAGTTCTTCTCAGTTTTACCTTAAGATTTTGGGGATACGTGTTCATTTTCAAAGGTGTTTAACCTCAGAATCAATGAACAGTCCAGCTACCAACAGAATCACGCTTATTAAGTCGGTACCGCCGAAGAATGCCTGAATGACATGACATGTTTACACGTGCCTAGACGTTTTCTCCTGTTCTACAACTCTCACATGTTGGTCGGTCTTTGCTTACAGCCACTGCCCCAGCTCACTTGTCACAACTCACAAGGTCGGCGCGCCCGTCATGAACCGCATGGCACTCTGGGTTCTGTAGTGCAACAAGTGCAATGTTTACCAATGTTTACTCTCGACCACCATATCTACTTTCCACCAATTAGGAGCGGTTAGTAACTAGTGCGCTAATTTTGAATGAACCTTTCTTTATGTAATTGATTAAAAAATTATTTTAATTATCATTCGAAATGTCATGAAAAGTTTAAATTAATGTTATATGATTTAATCAGTAAAAAAATCATTTTTATAATCCATATTTTTCCAAAAATCCAGTTTTCCAAAAATAATTGTCTCCGGGAAAATTGAGTTTATATATCACTTCCGGGCGCGCATTTCAAACTCGCTATCGCAGATAACGCGGCGTCTGCAACAGCGCTTGCCGTTGCCTCCATTCTCCATGTTATAGAGTCTGTGAGATAAACATCGTTTGCCACACTTCATGATGCAATGACTGCCACACATCAATGCTTGCCGCACACTAGAGTACTTTAGCAATATGCAATATAGAGTTTTATGTATACTATTCATTATACACATTAAATCTACTTTAAATAGAGTTATTGTTTTTTCAGTATAGGTTATACTCTTGTGTAGAGTAGACCTCACGTCGAATAACCGCAAACTCTTCACTTCATATCATGACATACTGAAACCGTCTAGTAGTTAAAATGTTCGTAAACGACAATTTGAGTTTATTCATTACTTCTTTAAGCGCAGTTTCAACTAATTCCTCCGACACCTTTTGCTCTGCCTCAGTCTAATGATGTCTGATGAGCAGATAAATAATTTTATACGAATTAGTATTTTCCTTCCACTCAGATCTAATAATTAAAAGATAACAATATTTGCCTCCTCATAAAGATTGCCTCGTTCACAAAATTATATGAGAGATCAGTAGGTTTAGTGATCCGGCAAGAATGCATTCCGAAATGTGTTTTCCAAAACACTCTACATGATACTGTGGAACATCAATATCGCAATGTATGGTCTCGAGTATCTCTTTCTCCAAATTGAGTGAGCATTCTGCCCTTTGCTTTCTTGATCCATTTTCCAACATGCATCGGGTCAATTTTTAAAACCATTTAAGTCATATTTCAATTCTTCAATTAAGAGAACTAAAAATAGAGGAAAGATTAAAAATGTATATTTATGATAAATAATTATTTCCTCAATTTAAATATTACTCTGTATTATTACTCCGACAATTATAAAGTAAACTAAACATTTGGGTTAATTGAAACATGCTTTAAATGTTATGTTCAGGGAAATATTTTGTAGCCAATTTTGAAAAAATTGTTCATTTCTGAGTTGATAGTACAGAAACTTTGTTTGAATTGCTGCCGTGGAACCAAAGTTATCCCGGTACATAGATCGACTGTTACAAATGTTTTAATTTTTTATGACGTGAAGATGGTTTATATAATTTAATGATGTTTTGCGTCTATATACAATCGCAATGCTTATACTAACTCCTTAAGGAGCGTTAAGCGCAGCTTGGAGTCAACCACCGTTATTAAACACTCAGCACCTGCCCAGCACCGTCTAGGGGCCGCTGGGTAGTCAAGTCACGGCAGCCACAGTCAAAGAGATTCGCCGATAGGTAGCGTTTTCGTGCGCGCGTTTCACCCTCATTTGCTTTAGTGGTGTCCTCTCACATTTGGAAACAAAGCTATGACAAGCACAGCTCCTGCAAACAGGGACATCTTTTCACCATGAGGGCATCTGGATAAACAGTTTTCTATAACAGTATTCCAAAGGGTTATGTGCATGGGCATTGATGGGCACCATGGCATGGATATGCTGCTGTGCAGCCTGGCCGCTTTAGCTAATGAGCTTCATGCACCAGATTACCTCATATTAGCGGGAATTTTAAATACAGCCATATACCAAATCATATTGTTAAAAATAAAAAAAAATCATCTATTGTTCCCGATTACGTAATTCGTTTGTAATCAATCGAGAAGTATAAATAATCTACATCGCCTATAGTGTTTAACAATAGGAAATTAAAAGTAATGTGTTTCTTAAGTGCCATTAAAACTTCTTTCGTACTTGTTAGTTCAAAATATGGTAATTTACGCAATAAGTGCTTCATTTATTTTTATGGTTATTTTTCAAGAGGTAAAGCAGCGCCCTCTGGAATATTATATTCCAGAGGGCGCTGGGTAAAGGCGGTATAATTGAAACTTTCTTGCTAAACAGGTATTTGATATTTATCTTGAAATTTTCAAATGTATCCATATTACGGAAAATAACTTTACATTACTAGTACCTAAATAATACGAGAATAGTGTATTATTTCATGCCCATTATAACTTTTATGAAATAAAATTTCGTAAACGAAATTGCGCATTTACCTTGTCAACTACTAATTATTTGTTAATCGTTTAAATGCAGGAAAATGCCATTGCATTAGAACTATCTTTAACTTTTAGGATTTTTACTACTTTTTTTTTGAAGTTACAAAGTATTTCAATTTGCAACTCGTGAGTTAGTATATCAGGAGAAAAAAAGGCGGGCATTCAAACTTGCTACTCTTTTTCTCGAAAAATAACCTCGGTAAGTGAACATTCTCTTATTTTTGGTGCTGATTCCATTTAGTTCATTCTTTAATTGTGAGAGTAATATTTCCATCTGAAACGGCAGACCGTGAAGTATTTCCGCACAAGCCTGATAAGCACTGTCCTAGGGCGGCGAAATTTTATGGGCGAATAATTTTTTAACGCATCAACTTCTGGATGGGATATTCTACAGAATTTACTGCAAAAATAATCAGCTTCAACTACGCTGAAAAATCTCTCTATTATGCGATGATGTTCTCGAGATGACGCATGCCAAACCATGATGCATTACTCAGCAAATATTGTAGATGCATTCAATAGTATAGAAACAGATTTATTTCAAAAGTCTTTAACCCTTCTGAAGCTAAAGGAATCAAAACTAATATTTTGGAAACTACATTGAAGAACCAAAAAATGTACAGTCATGCTTATTGAAATAAAGAGATTTGGAACCAATCAGAATACGGCGCTCCGGTCGGCAACGGCTATATAAGACAACCAGAATCTGGCACAGTACACTGTCTGGACCGGTTACCGCTGCTACAATGGCAGGTTATCACGACTTAAGTGACTTTGAAGTCGGCGCAAGAGAGATGGGGCATATCATCTCCGAGGACGCGATGAAATTTATATTTTCCTGTACGACCATTTCACGAGTGTACCTTGAATATCGGAAATCTGTAAAACATCCAACCTCCGACATCGCTGCGGCCGCAAAATGATCGTGCAAGAACGGAACCGACGACGACTGAGGAGAATGATTACACGTGACAGAAGTGCAACTCTACCGAAAATTGCTGCAAATTTCAATGCTGGGCCATCAACAAGTGTTGGCGTGCGAACCATTCCAACCGAACCAACGAGAAATTATTGAAATGGGGTTTGGGAGCCGAAGGCTCACTCGTGTCCTCGACGACTGCAGGACCCAAAGCTTTACGCCTCGCCTGGGCCCGTGAACACCGACAGTGGACTGTTGATGACTGGAAACCCGTTGCCTGATCTGACGAGTCTCGTCTCACATGATTTCGAGCGGATGAACGTGAAAGAGTGTGGCGACAGCCTCACGAATCAATGGACCTTGCATGTCAAAAGGGAAAATTTTCAAGCCAGTAGAGGAACTGTGATGGTATCGGGCGTGTGCAGTTGGAGTGATATGTGCCCCTGATAAGTCCAGAAACAACTCTGACATGTGACACGTACCTAAGCATCCTATCTGATCACCTGCACCCATTCATGTCTATTGTGCATCCCGACGGACGGGCAATTTGCGCAGGGCAGTGCGACAACCCATACGTCCAGAATTGCTATAGGAACGCTTCTGAATTTAAACACTTCCATTGGCCACAAAAATCCCCAGACGTGTATATTATTTAGCATATCTGGGATGCCATGCAAATGCTGTTCAGAAGAGATCTCCACCCCCTCGTACTCTTACGAATGTATGGTCAGTCCTGCAGGATTCATCCAATGTGTCAATTACTTCCAGCATTACTTCATACATTAATCGAGTCCATGTTACGAAGTGTTGCGGCACTTCCGCGAGCTCGCGGGGGCTCTACACGATATTAGGCAGATGTATCAGTTTTTTGGCTCATCGGTGTACTTTTATGACAGTGTTCTGAGGCTTCAATAAAATAATGATAATATTCAAATAATGATAAAATTCTACCAACAAAAATTACAAGAAATCAACTTCGACTTTAGTCTAATAATCGAATTATATGATTCTCTCATTGCTCTGTTTCAATCTAATGGAAAACATTTTGATTATTTTGAAAACAAAGCAAAATGACTGACAAATGTTACCGATTCAAATGAATGTGAAACAAAATGATCGAAAAGAAGAAAACTGAACTTTGAAGCATCGAGACCATGAAATAGAATTTAAAGTTAGACTGCTTACGTGTTAACGTCATAATTGATAAGATAATCGTTGAATTGAAAAACCTATGCAACGTATCGATGACATCATCAGTGACAAATTCAAGGAGATTATCAATTTATACTATGTCAAGGGTCCATTTACAAACGTCTGCAGAACATTTGCAATAAGTTTCCAGAAGATATTGAGGAAACCATTGTGTGGGAATTATTTCATATGAAATCTCATTTAACGACACTCAATCCAGAAATCAAGCCAATGAATCTCATTTCACTAAGCAAATGGTTACGTGAAGAAAAATTACAAAATGTCTACGCAAATATTCTATATTCGGGAAGACATTTTCACAAATTCAAATGTAGTATATCATATATTTCAAATATTTGTATGTCTCCGTATATTTTTATGTACACCTGCTTCCAATAATTCAGCGAGCCACTCATTTTCTTGCTTAAAAATTAAAAAAAAAAACAACTTAATATTAACAATGGATGAAGGAGGACTTAATTCATTACCTATTCTTTGTATTGAAAGCATTTTTTGAAACATAATTTGCAGACAATTATTAATGCATTCGGTTGACAATACGCAGGTAAAAAGTTTGTATCCTGATAAAGATTCTCAGACTGTAATCATATTTCAATAAATGCAT